TATTTACGGAATGATGTTAACTCAAATATTTACGGAATGATGTTAAATCAAATATTTACGGAATGTTGTTAACTCACATATTTACCGAAAGTTCAGTGTGTCCTTCTTGACAATTAATAAATAAACACGCTGGGCAGGTTTTTCAAAAGCCATTAAAGACACTAGAACAACAAGTCTATTATAGAAACACTATTGGTAAAATGAAAAATAAAATAAAATAATAATATACATGTCTTTTTCGAACATACGACATACATTTTAAACCAACACGTGTCTAATACTTATTTAGCTACAGAATGTTGAAGGTAAAGTTGGCGTAGATAATTTATTAAAACATCTTTTATGAATATCTGATCTACATTGAAACTTATGTGTATCGTTAGGTAGATAGTGAACATTTTACGTTACAATCATGCTACACTAGTGTTAATAATGGTCAAATGTATAATTAAAAGATTTAGTTAAAAATATTACACTCATCAATATATCAATAAACAACCACAGTCGTTGTTTTACTTTTCTATCCGTGCAAGTTTTCCTGACCTATTTTTCTTTTTTGTTCTCTATCAGTGTTATTTTACTTTCCCTTCTGTGCTTCTTATTCTTCCTCCTACAGTTTGATGTCGTCTATTTCTCAATTTTTTATTTTACAGTATATTTCCGTAAATACATCTCTGCTTTTGGTAATTATTTTTCATTTGCATTACTTTTCTTTCCATGTTTTGTGTTATTTCTCTAACATTCTGAAGACCGTCTAAGCTCAAAGCACATCATACAAATACACAAACTAACACTGGTAGGAGTATCCAGTCAGTAATGAACGTGTCTGAACCTAGATTTTAACAAGCCGAATGTTTTTGATATGAAAAATCTACCCGTGTACTCTGTTTTTCATATTTCAGATCGGCTGATTTCCATTATTAGATTCACTTATACGTCTAAAACAGGACAATTTTATAAAAGTTGGGCGTAAAATGTATTTGTTTTTTTTTCAAGGAAGTAAACGCATTAGTTACGAATGTTTCTCAATACTGCCGTATCACGATATATCAGCACAGATTTCTAAGTCATTCAGCGTGATTGATGTTTAGTGATAACTTAGAAAAGGTCTTTGGTGTGGTTAATTTACAGTGATACTTCAATACAGGTCTTTGGTTTGGTTGGTTTACAGTGATACTTCAATACAGTTCTTTGATTTACAGTGGTACTTCAGTCTTTTGTATGGTTAATTGAAAGTGGTACTTCAGAATAGGTCTTTTGTATGGTTGATTTAAAGTGGTACTTCATAATAGGTCTTTAGTGTGGTTGATTTAAAGTGGTACTTCATAATAGGTCTTTTGTATGGTTGATTTAAAGTGGTACTTCATAATAGGTCTTTTGTATGGTTGATTTAA